TATTACAAATGACTTCCACCTCCTCCACAGCCCTCAAAGGCAAACTATAAAGCTGTGTGCAAAGCCAGACAATCTGGGCACCCAGCCATAAACCATCACTGCTGCAGCACAGATAACTGTTCTCGCTCTCAGCCATCCTTGGCTGCAAACCCACGGGGAAGAGCTCCAGAAAGCAAGAGCTCGGTACCGTCAGGGCTTCGAATATTTTATGAGCTTGAATTACAACTACGTTCAAGACCTCAGTGCCGAAAAATTACAGTGCTGATTCACACCCAGGGCTGAGACCAAAACTCACTCAGGCTTGCTTGGTACCCTGAGCCATGAGATGTAAGAACAGCCCGTTATTTTCCAGCTGTCTTCAAGTGACAGAAGCCTTTTCACTGGGATGAAGAGGGAGATATGTTACACTTTAAAAAAAAGACAAAGGAATCAGATGCATGTTTTCAAGTACTGCTGTGTTTTCTTCCAGCGATACCATCTTTGATACAACCTCAAGGAGCACTGTGGCTATTCTGTGCAAGCACAGGTAGTTTTGTTATGATCAAATTCAGATATTTTTATCCTGTGCGGGAGATTTTAAAACATATTAGTGACAGGAAGCTGCAGAAATAAAGTTTCAGAAAACACAGCTGTAACTGTGTGAGTGAAGCCACAGTGAAGTTAACCACGATTAAGTAATTTTAGAAGTTAACTATCATTAAGGAATGATAAAATAACTGTAAGTACGTCTACTTTGGGAATTTAAGAGGTACAACTAAGCCATGCTTTTGGCAGACAGTTTTCAAAAATAGCACAGATTCCTAAAGGAAGATCAAATAATACTTTGATTCCTCTGCTTTCATACATTAAGAATAACCATCTTTCATTTCACCAATAGCATTTGCCAGTGAAGAGACTGCACAGAGCACATAGATCATTTAGTAATGCAATTTACTGTCACTCCTAGATCATCTCCCCATTCAATAAAGTATACTTCTCCTCTAAACACTATTTGCCCTGGCTGATATCTTCATAATACAGCTGAAAACCTCAAGCCATTATCACTAGAAGGCATCAGCTGATCCTAAATTGGCTAGACTGCAGCGTCACAGGCATTTAAGAGGTTTCCTTATCATTCATCTTTAATACTGAGGGATCGACACACTCCTACCTGCAGCTTCCAGGCCAAAGGGAAACCTTCTAATGGTATTACCATTATCTTGTAATCTGAATTTTAAACAATTAAAACAATAGCACTTTTGTGTTGCAGGTTTCTGCTGTGACCAAAGATGATACATTTTCCATCAGTTCTCATGTTCAAAGTCTTCCATAAAGCACTGATTATTTTTTTTTTTTTAAAGCAGCAATATGCACCCTGCATTTAAGCTGCTGAACCTTCAAAGAGAAGCAGCAGTGTAACAAGGCACTGAGATTTAAGTCATCACCAGAGACTATTTGCTTTACTTAAGGAAGGTTTGGCCATTTCATTCTAAATCTGCACTTCTGGTGTAGTCAATACGCTCTGGCAATTCTTTCCAAATGAAAGCCTCTTTTTACTGAAGCAAGGGATGGCTCCACCCCTGACCTCCTCCTTCAGCTTGTTTTGGAAAGGGGCCAGATGACAGCATTTGGAAAAGCGCATGTTTATCTCGGCGAGGCCAGCTGCTAAGTTAACATATTACCCGTTCCCACATACACTGCTCTTGGTTAAGTCTTCACAGCTAAAACTGAAAGTAAACGCTGCCCTTGGGCTTTTAGTAACCTGAACACGAAAGAGAAAAGGAGTCTCCACGGCATGGAGCACCTGAACGGGCTGGAGAAGTGTAGGTTAGTTTGAATTAACAGCAGGCAGTTAATCTGGAAATAAATTTCATGGTCTTTCTGAATGAAAAACAGAAGGTTTTATTACTAGACTAATTTAAAGGTAAGCTTCCTATAAGGTTGCCACTCAGCAACAGTTTGCTCCAAGACACAAGGTGATTATAAAAGCCCCTGGTTGACAAAACCTTGATCTTGTTTTATAGTTACTCCAGCTCGGCAAGGTATGGAACGTGGGGGCTTTGAGAACTTCAACAAAGAATCTTCAGGTTAAAAGCAGTATGTTATTTCTCATATTAAGGGAATTTTGTTTATAATTTTCAAAGTCTTAAAAAGCTCATTGAAAGGAAAAAGTATAGAATTACCCTCCTTCCCTTAAACATCAGTGAAAGATCACAATTCACCAAAATGCAGAGCTTGTTATTTTAACAGGAAAGACAAACCCCGGAATAACAAAAAAGAAATTAAGCCAGACAGGTGGGGTTTTCATGGATCCCAACAAGGTCCATCAGGCTTTGCAATGGCAGGGAAGGCAAACCTCATCCACTCACAGGGGGTCAGATTTTGGGAGATGCCAGGTCTGAAGGTGAACCTCCAGGTCCCCAAGTGGTTCTTCAGCCAAGGGCAGTGTCCCAGAGCAAACTCCACTATCCTCTGTACCAGCCTGGAAACGGCACGGCCCAAGGCTGCCCACAGGGACATTCCCGGGCACTGGGAATGATGCCCTGCACCACTGACAGCCGAGTTACAAAATAATCCCAGCGCTGTAAAACACATGTACGAGCACACACAGACCACTCGTATGTAACACACTGCTCGGGTCCAGTCAGCTCTTAGCCTGATGGACACCGATCCCTGAATTTGTCAACATGGCAATCCACCCAGAGAACAACAACATAAATATTTCCTGTATATATCCTACAGCAATCCAGACGAGCTCCCACTAAAAAGGTTTGCCTGCCTTGTTTCTTTCATTACTATAAACAAAACCTTTAGACACAACTACAAAATATTGCCTAAAGTAACAGCCCCTACCAACACGCATCCCCTCTTGCCCTGGAGCAAGTCCTGGCTCCAGCACAGTTTTCCCGATGCCAGCACCTGCTCTCCAGGGGCTGGACTGAAATGAACCTTCCTCATCTCACCAGCTCCGTGCCAGGCGGATCCCTTTAAGTCAGAAAGGATCCGTTCTCCTTTGAAGATAAGGACAAAGCGACGCAAGGCATTATTACAGTACTGCTGGTGCCCTTCAGCACTCATTTTCCCTAAAAAAAAGTTCAAAACAATCTGATTTACTACAGCTTTCTTCACGGACTGAGTCACGGGCTCGGAAGCAGCAAAGGTGACCCAACGCCCGAGGATAACACAGCTTCTGTATCTCACCCAAAAAGCAACAATCTCACCCAAAAAGCAGCATCAGTGTTACCAATGACAGACCGAGCCTCCCACAGGCTGGAGCAGTTTTCTCACTGGCGTACGCAGGGCTGACACTGCTGCTTTCATGTTCTGGAAAGGATTCCAGAAGCCAGAGCAGGAACGCCAGTGCATCCGGGGGCTGGGTCCTCAGCACACCATTTTGAGCTCACAGATAACACACTGGAGCGGCCAGACCGATATCCCAGGGATTTCTGAATTTGAGGAACCGCGATGGGGGAAAGCTGTGTGATGTGCTTTAAGCACAGGTTGCACCCGCTGCAAATCACCTACTATTTCCTTGGAAAACACAGGGGGAAGCAAGTGAGAATCTGCGCGTAGCTTCCCACCACTTTCTTGAAAATTATTATTAAAAAATTGTAATATCCGAGAGGAAACTGCGTTTAAATTCTCAGCCGTAGGTGAAGGCGAAAAAAACCCACCCACCGCATGGGATTAGGGCAGGATTTGGAAGCCATGCCTTCCTCCCCCAGTGCATCCAGCAGCAGTGCAGACGTTCTCCTGCTCCTCCACTCTGGCATTGTCCTCAGGTCCACGGCACCACCGACACCCACCTGATTTAAAGCTCTGCACCATCGACCAGCCCACTAACAGCGGGATTTATTGGAATTTTAATTACCTTAACCGGCCTAATGTCCAAAGCAAATTTCTGTATATAAATTAGCATAATTCGCCAGATACATCCATATGCAAACGAGAGGGAAAATATGCAACAGACACGGGAATGACGTACCGAAGATTATTTCTAAATTTAAACTGGCTGTTAGAATAATTGAATAAATCTCTTCTCGCACTTACACTGGAGTTGTAGCAGAAAATAAACTACCCACAAAGACCAGCAGCATTACATTTAATGGAAAAACAGGGAGAAAAAACCCAACTGAGTTCAATAAATCCCATAATTGAACCTTCAACTAATTACATATTAAGAAGATTAACCTTTGACACAAACTTGTGATACAAACAAAGAAGCCTCAAACAATTAATAAACTTCCAGTGTTTCAAGATTTCTCAGGTTAACAACTGAGCCCTCCCCGTTTTCCTCCCATTCTGCGTCGCAGTTAAAGGAATAAACTCTGTTTCATATTCTCTCTGCCCCTGGACATTTCAGGTTTAGAGGAACATCTCTCTCTGAATACTCAGGAGAAAATTACTGCGGACCCCCACAGCCTCATTCCTTGGGGGGAAAGAGGAAAAAAAAAAACCTTAATCCAGATATTCTAACTTTTAAGAGAAAGCTGCCACGAAGGACAAAGCTGGAGCTCATCTGCTCGCCCACAGAGCAAGCACTGCTGGCCATGCCCTCAATTTTCCAGCCCTGGGATCATTTCCAACACGCTCTGCGATGATTTTCACACGTGTAAGTTCTAAACCAAGAGCACACACGGTCATGCCTTGCAGCAGAACCTGCTATCGTGTCGTGTCTGAGTGGCACAACATGCTTACAAATGGTATTTCAAATCGCTGTTTGGTGAAAAACAGCGACTGCAACAGGGAAAAGGGACAGAGAATGGGATACAGAATTAATTCTAGCATTATTTAAAAAATCCGCAAGTAGTTCACAGGAAAAAAAAAAAAAACGTAAAAAAACAAATGCATTTTGAAGTGTTTCCGGGTGGTATTTGCTTCACTGACTAATAAGCGGTTTACAAAAATATAATAATCTGGTTTAGACTTCTGAGAAAAGGAGGAATGCAGTAGTTTAGCAGGTCTCTTCCCTGCTAACTTCTACCATGCCCGGATTCAGAGAGGCTCTTACCCCTTCTTACCTTTTAGTCTTTTCTTTATGGGGCTCTTTGGCAGCTTTCGATTCAGTCTTGCTGTAAGGAAACAAGTGAGTATTTTGTCTACCGTGTAGGGGTCTTTCTGACGTGTTCCTTTCTTTTTTTTAATGCTTCTTTTTTAAATTTTTTTATAAGTGTACCCGTAATTTCACGAATCTGAATACGAAAAAAATCTCACGCGGCCAAAAAAAACTTAAGTTTTTTTTGTTGTTGTCGTTTGTTTACCCCCCTCAGAAAAAAAAAAAAGTCTGCCACACAGGAGATGAAAAAAAAAACAAAACACCAACAGATCAACAGGAAAACACTATCCAAGTAGAAAAGCAAAGAGCTTCAGTGTTATCCAGCCCAGAGGAGAAGTGCAGCAAGAGCAGGTCCAATTCCAAAACAAGCTTTTGACTTCCAGTGAAGCAAAAATAAAAACCAAAAAAAAAAAATATATATAACCAAGACCAAGAAACCAAGACAAAATACACGTTCAAGTCCCCAGCTAAATTTTTGCACGAGTGTGTCTTAAATACAAGTTTGCTTTTAAGTGTTGCAGCAAAACCCACGAAAAGCCAGGATTTGGAGTTGATCGGGATGAGTTCTCGTGTTGTGTGTGCCTTGATGGGTTCTCAGTCCACATGGAG